ATCCTGAATTTATCCTTAGAAATTATCACTCGGCCAACAGGCTTGAAAGCTGCGGTCTGCTCCCGGCCAATTTGCACGCAATAACTAACGATAACTGGGAGCCCTTCAGGCCCGGGTAGAGTTTTCCCTCGAGTTCTGGGGTAATTGAATCTGGGTTTTTACGTCAGCTCATCAATAGAGATGAGGTCCGGCCCTGATGCCCGATTTTTATCTCCTTTACGGTCCCTCCAGGCGGGCGCAAACCCGGTCTCCCCTGCGGAGTCGTCCCTGCCGGTGCAGGGACCAAGAGGAGGATTTCAGTGTTGTTTGGGGAAATCACGCTCTGGGTTCAGCGCTGGGAACCGGCTGTTGGGCTGAGACCTTTAATCTCGTAGAAATACGTGTCCGGGAGTTGTTTTAAATATAAAAAAAAAAAAAAAAACCAACTCATCGATGGCCACGAAGTAGCTGAAGCCTGGCCGTGTCCGATGGCGGACTGGTCTGCCGGCGACCGGAGATAACGCGCCGGGCTTTTGGGGAAGCGAGACGGCCGCCTGAACCTGTGCTGCTTGTGGTTGCAGGTGCCGGTGACCTTTGACGACGTGTCCGTCTATTTCAACAACAAGGAATGGGAGAAGCTGGAGGAGTGGCAGAAGGAGCTGTACAAGAACGTGATGAAGGGGAACTACGAGTCGCTCATCTCCCTGGGTAAATACGGGGTGTCCTCGCTCCCCCCCCCCTGCCCCGTGAAAGGCAAGTTCTCTGGGGTCGTGGCTGCCCGTGGGCTTGGGCGTCTTCGGAGTCCTCCTCGGAGATCCTCTCGGATCCCCTTGAGACCCAAACGTCCCATTTTAAACGGAGACTTAAAACCAGAGGATGGATGCTTCTAGTCTGGGTAAGGGCATCCCTCGGGCGATGTCTGGGTTTGGGGTACACGATGCCATCCGGGTTGGGTGGGGGCCGCCCGCGCGTGGGCTGGAGACCTCCTGAGCCTCCTTCCAGCCAGAGTTACTTGGGGAAAAGCCAGCACCTTCCCCGTGGCTGTTGGAAGGGTTTCCCTTCATCCTCTGGGTCAGCGGCGGGTACCAGCCCGTGCGCCCCTTTAGAGGAAAGTTTTGCAGAGCGAAAAGCTGTCTGATGCGGTTATACCTTATGCTCCTTTGGGGCGTTTCCTGATGAAGCTGCAGGAGAAATTCTGGCTCTGCCGGGGCCAGAGGTGAAAAGCTTTTGGCTTCGGGAGAGCCAGGAATTTACTTGAGAAGTTCTAAAACCCTGCCCGAAAAATGGACGGGTTGGGTTTCTCCTCGAAGGTCGCTCCTCCCGCGCGTGGCACCTCAGCTGCTGCCTCCGTGACTCTCTTCTGCCCATCCAGGGCGGCTGACCTGCCTGCAGCGCCAGGCTTTGCTGCCTGCAGAGCCTTGGTGGACGTTCCCGAGTGTCTTCTCGCGTCCCCCTCCGGGCGCCGGGGAGAGGTGGAAGCCGATATTAGGATTGCCTGTGCAGTAATCCCTCCATCCCTCTGTCTCTCAACAGACTATGCAATTTCCAAACCTGGTGTTTTGTCTCAGATCGAGCAAGGAGAGGAACCGCGGGTCAGGAACGAGCAGGACTTGGAAGAGAGCGAGATCATTACCGATGCCACCGCAGGTTAGCGCGAGGGGAGCCGTAGGTCGCGTTCGGAGGAGCTGCTCACCCCAAGTGGCGCTGAGAGCCGTGCCCGAGGGGGTTAGCGGGAGGAGCCTTGCGGACGAGCGGGAAAGGTTTGGCTGATTAGAGATTTGATGTCCAGGTACGGCTTAACAGATAAACCAGGGCAAGAGGAGCCCAGAGAGTTGGGCGCTGGGAGCCGTCAGCAAGGGAAACGTCTGCAACCAGACCAGGTCCTCAGGGAGACGGCGTCCCTGGCGAGAAAGGAGAATCGCATCCCCTTGGGAAACCCCATCCACCCCCAAAAAAAACCCCTCTCCGGCCTCTCCCGTTGTGCGGACGGCGCCTGGGTTTATCCTTGGAGCATCCCCCCCGGGGTGGGGAAGCTTGCTCCCGTCCCGCGCGCAGGGTACTGAGCGGGTTCTCCGAGGGTCTGGCTGGGCTGGGAGTGGGGCACCGGGGACCCCGAGTCCTGGAGAGGCTCCTGCTCTGAGATAAGGGGGACTGGTAAGGAGATAAGGAGGTGTCCAAGAAGAGGTGGTGTCGGCTCCGCTGCAGGTCTCTGGCCCCGGTCGCTCCGACCCCTTGGCCGTGCTCTTGGTGACGAGGATCTGGAAGTTAAATTGAGGTCAACGGGAAAAGAAAAATCCTCCGCTGCGCACAGGGAGCTGCCGGCCCGGCACCGTGGCGGGGGGCTGGGGGTGGCGGAGGGATGCTCAGCTGCCGGCGCTGAGTCCCCTGTGCCTGCGGAGGATCCCAGGCGAGAGGCAGGAGCGTGGCAGGGACGGTGGAAGAGCAGGGGCTGAAGGGAGAGCAGAAGTGACCGAGCAAATGCAAAAATGAAAGCCCTCTGTGGGATCAGCGGCCCGAGCCGACCCACGGGGAGCCGGAGGGGATTGCTGCGAGCGGTTTCTTCCTCCTGGCTCCCAGGAATGATGGCGAGCGGGAATCTCTCTTTGTTTCAGCTGGTATAAGGGTCGTGATCAAAACGGAGGAGCTCCTTCCTGAAGACAGCCCCGAAAACGCCGAGCTGCACGGGATGTCGGGGCAGTCGGAGGGGAGCTTCCAGAGTCCGGACGAGGAACCAGCCTGTGAGAGCCCCTACGGCTCCGTCTCCCCTCCGAGGGACCTGCCGGGAACCAGCCTGGGGGACTCGTCCGAATACGGAGCTGATTTCAACGAGATCCAGAGAGTCATCGTTCACCACGGGAGCTGCACAGGTGAGACGCTCAGCGCGCAGCTCGGCGGCACGTGGCACGGCGGCGGGGAGGGACGGGAGGCTGAGGAGGGGCTGCGGTGGGTTGGGGAAAGGGTTGGACGAAGGAGAAGGGTTAAATCCCACCCCAGAACCAGCACCAGAAGGAAAGTTTCTGGCTGCGTCAACCTCAAGAGCAGCTGCGGTGAGACCTCAGGTCGGGAAGAGGAGGCAGCGCGTATGCGGTGGACATCGGAGCGTGGTCTCTGAGGGCACCTGACCTGCTCCAGAGCAGAGCAAGCAGTGGCTCGGTCCTCCCTGAGTGGGAAAAGCCCCTGTTAGACACGGAGGGCAAGCGAGGACGTGTCCCGGGCCCCAGTGAGAGCCCCAGTGAGCCCCCGCTGCCAAAACGCCACCGTTGCGGAGGGCGGGATGTGGGTTGAGGGCTCCTGCCCTGGTGTTAGCGGTGCAGAGGAACGGTGGAAGCCGCTCAGGAGAGTACGCGCTGGGCTCGGCTGGAGGAACGCGTGGGGTCCCGCACGTCGGCCAGTCGCTCGGGGACAGGAACGAGGGCGGCAGAAGGTCCGTGGAGTGCAAGCTGTCGGGAGGGAAAGGTGCGGTGAGGTTATTTAGTGGAGAGATGAGGAAAGGCTGAGAGCGCTGCGACTCTTCAGCCTGGAGAAGAGAGGGCTGAGGGGAGACCTTATTATGGCATACAAATATCGAAAGGGTGGGTTGGAGGAGGATGGAGCCAGACTCTTCTCGGTGGTTCCCAGTGACAGGACGAGGGGCGACGGGCACAAGTTGGAACAGAGGAAGTTCCGTTCCAACACACGGAAAAACTTCTTTACGGTTGGGGTGACCGAGCAGTGGCACAGGCTGCCCAGGGAGGTGGGGGAGTCCCCTTCTCCGGAGATTTTCAAAACCCGCCTGGATGCAGTCCTGAGGGATGTGCTCCGGGCAGTCCTGCTTTAGCAGGGGAGTGGGACTGGGTGAGCTCTGGAGGTCCCTTCCAACTCTAAAAATTCTGTGAGAAGGTGGTACCGGGTGGTTCAGGTGAAGAAGTCTGCCAGTTGGGTGGCAGATACGGGCCAGGCCCTCCAGCCGCGCTTCGAAGGTGGAGATGGGAAAGCGGGGAGACGGACCAGTGGGTTCCCTGCCTTCCGACGGCTTTGCGATGGTATAACGCAAACCAAGAAAGAGGGAGTTGGGCTCTTGAGGTCTTCCTCAACTCCACCTCCGGGGTCCTGTGGTCTCCTCACAGGTTTCTAAAGGAAACCAGCCAACCCACCAGTAGGGCTGGAGCCGATCCTCGTCCGAGAGCCAGCACCGCCGCCGCCGCGTGGGGCTGAGCGGGAGCTGCAGCAATGCCCTGAGCGGAGCGCGGGTGCCGGTGGCCGAGCGGTGATAGCCCTCGGGGTCCGCATGGGGGAGGCTCCTTGCTGCGAGGAGGTGGGAAGGAGGACCTGGGAGCGTGGGTTTCCCCCGCTGACCCCTCCGTCGGCGGGGAGCGGGCCGTGGCGTTGATACATCCCGCTGCCTCTTCTAGGGAAAGCGTGGCTGCTCTTCCTAGAAAGGTACACATGCTCGGCTCAAAGTCCAGCGCGGAGTGACGTGCGAGGGATCCACCGCTCGCCTTTCCTCGGGGCGCGCTGGCTGCGCGTCCTGCTGCACGTGTCGGCGGTAGGGCCGGTCTCGCCAAACAAAACCAAGGAGGGGGGGGGTCTGTCCCCGTGTCCTGTCACGGGGAGGCCAAAAACGGTGGGCGCGTCGTTTCGGGAGCGGAGCTGGAGCTTGGCAGCCCCGGGCTGTGTTTCCCTC